AACAGTGGCCCAAATAAGCTTGCCAAGATCAAGGTACAGACTGTATCCTGAGGCTTTGTCTAAGGATTGGCTGATGAATGGGAGGCTGAGAGTCCCTGCCTACAGCTGGGCCAGCCATGGTCCCCAGCCTTCCATACTCACTAGATAAGGTCTCACTCTGCCAAACCTTAGGCAGCAAAAGCCAGTGAACATCAGTACCTACAAATCTTTGTGTCTAGTGACCCAAATCCATACCCAACCAAGAACATCACTCATGTATTATGGACAAGGAAACTGAAGTCCAGAATCTGGAACAAGTCGGTGGAAGAGGGGCCATCCAGAACCCTCAGTCCCTACCCTGTCATCCTTCACCCCTGAGAGGTGACAAGAGTCCCCTGCCAACCCCACCTCCAGCAGCGTTCACACAAAGGTGCATGCTTGGTGGATGGAGGACACGGTGGCACAGCAAGGTGGTCTGCTTCCCTCAGCACTGTAAGCGACATCAGAGCTTACTCTCCTTCCATGGGGCCCACTAATGTAACTTCAGCCTTTAAAGGATATGACCAGGATCAGGGCGAGGGCCAACCCTTCCATCCAACTGCAAGGATGCACAGATGGCACAGAGCACATGCCACATTCCTTCTCCATCCTTTCACATGTCAATTCAGCCCTCATATGCTCGAATCCAGCTGTTAGTACACTCCACAAAGTTCTCCAAAGAGCCCTTGGTCCTAGAGACTTGCCCACTTCCCTAGATTCAACCCTGCAGTAAGTAGTGGACTCACTGTTCTCAATTCGAGGTACTGAGGAACACACCAGTCCTGTTTTCTCAATAACAGGGGGGTCAGGACACCTCACCCAGGGTGCAATGACATAGATCAAAAGGATCTACAAAAGCCTGTGTATTTTGCTCATTGGAAGACACTAAATATCCCACATTCACCACTGGGTTCCATCTGTACTCAGACACTGTCCGTGGCTCCTTGAAAGCACTCCAGACTCAAGTACTTTCAGAACCAGACACAGGCCTCCTACCTACAAGGCCAGCACCCAGGAGCATTCCCAGCACCTAGCAGTCTCCATGTCAAATTTCTTCAGGCTGGTGGCATGCTGGGGGTCCTTCTGAGTCTCCATTTGATGACTTTACACATCTGACTCATGCTGGTGTCCACAAAAATGAGGTTTCTCTGCTCTCATCTGCAACGCTACTCAGACAGCTCTCTGCCTACTTGCTAATTCATTGTTTCTTTACAGATGCAAGGGTGTTTAAAGATTTACTCTACACATAACCAGGGCAGAGGGACTGCAATTGTTCTATCTTTTCAGTGTCATTTAAGTTATTGCTGAGGGTTAGAAACTGTGATCAGGCCTGGGAAGAAACATAGGTTTCCCTGGAAACCACAACTCTCTGAGGTATTCCCATCTTTTGGGAAATTTCCATAAGATTTTCTGAATCTCAATCAATGAAGCTGCAAGAAGACCTGCTACTTGAGAAAAGCTGAGCACATGATACCATTCAGTGATCAGGGTTCTTCTCCAAATGTCACATACCATACAGTCAGAGACCAGACCTTGGGACTCCAAGTGAACACCTCTCCTGTCTGCCTCAGGTGAGGACCAGGCCTATATCTACTCCTCAAATGACCTGCCAACTCCAACCTCCAGGGCTCTTATCAGTCTTGGAGCTAAAAGTAGTTAAGGGGGATGAGAAACAGCTACAAGACAGCCTAGATACCATTCTACTGGAGAAGGAGGCCTATCTGGGTCAAAGCACCCAAAGACCCTTGAACAAGGCCCTGATCCTGGATGTTGCTCTTTATGAAATGGGAGGTGACACCTGGTTGGACAGCCTCTGGCAATGACTCTGGGACTCCTAGGGCCCTAACAGAGCTACCCAGACACTGTGGACAGAGGGGCCTTGGTGATCAGCCCTAAGATGAGCCACAGGCAAGCCCAGAACCCCAGTCCAAACCCTTATGACTTGGTTTTCCACTTAGCTGTTTCAAATGCCATCTTTTTCTAGCTGGCCACTGGCCTGGATGTTGGAAAGGCCAAGTTGTCTACACTGTCAGCTCTCAGTTCTAAGGCAGGCCACCTCTCTGCTGACACAGGGAAACCTTCTCAGTCTCAGTTTCCCCATCATGCCCCTCTGTCCATCAGGCAATAAGGCTAGCCTGTGGTAGGGACATCATGACCCAGCAACCTTTCCCTATGTCCCTGAGTTACTTGGAGCTCCCACTTAGCTCTCTTGAGCACAACAGATGGACGTGATTCCTCTAAGGCCCCCATAATACTCCCATCTCTGCCTAGATTTGTCTTTGCTGTGGCTCACCCTTGAGAAGAGCTGGGCAATCCACAATGTCTCTGCCTGGGTGACCCCCCACCCCGCCTGGCTGAGTACAGAGCTGTTTCTGAAAATATCTCTCACAAGCAGTACATAGTGGTATCACTTCATAAAAGGCATACTGCAGAGCCCTGTGGACATTGGGCCTGACCAGGGTCCAAACCAAGGGTGGTCACCTCCCTCCTGACTCTGGACAGTGGCTGACCTTCAGAGATCCAGCATGACTGGCCAAGAGGCTGGTACAACTGGACCTCTCACAGATCAGGCTTTGATGGCCAATGGCAGAAGGAAAGTGGCCCAGGAAAACCCAGCACTGCTTAGATGAGGGACTCACTTCCATGTGCCTTGACTCTATCCTCCACTAGATCCCAGGAGGGGCTGCATCTTCTTTGCTAACTAGTGAACAAATCAAATACTGATTAACACACAGCATGCCTAGTCCATGAGGGGTCAACTGTCAACACAAGGGCTGACCACATGCTCAGGAATCTCAAGCCATTGGACTACCTAAATCAGACAGGGGTCAGTGTGGAGGATTCCATGTCTTGAAACTGGGGGGATGGGTCATGAGCAACAAAGGCAGTCAGATCACCGTTCACAATGGGATTAATAGGCAGCCTAGAAAAATCAGTTGGTCTTTACAAAGTCTGAGAGCCAGGAGTAGCTGTTACCACCTTACTGATGAAAAGATAAAGCTGTCAGGGGTTCTGAGACGAGACACGTGTGCCTGGCCCCAAGTTAGCAACCAGAGACTCTCTGTTCTTCAATGCTCTCCCTCCTGCCCCGAACCCCAAGACACCTCCCTATAAGCCCCAGCCACAAAATAAAGGAGCCAAGGGACCTGCAGCAAGCTGAAGCAGGATGCCTTCATGCTAAAGGTCTAAACCCTAAAATCTGGCACACTTCAGGGCCAGGGTTTGCTCTATGATGAACTAAGGCTGACTTGGGGATATGTAGGTGGGAAGAGGACACAGAGCCCATAAAGCAAGGGCCTCCCACACTGGACTCTGAGCTCTGGATGCTGCTGCTTTTAGGAAACAGGATGCAGGCAGCAGAAACAGAGAAGCTGACAAGTCAGACCCAGGGACAGGACAGGATCCCATAGAGGCTACAGACTCAAAAAAGAATCCTAGATAATGCTGCCAGTCTGGATATCCACACCCAGCCCTGTGGACAAAGGATTGCATCCTATCTGTGTCCCAGGAGTCACCTCGGACCAGGATCTGGCTATCTACATCAACCACAGTAGAGACCCTTGGACTCCAGAATAGGTATGGAGAAGGTGACTGCAGCAGCAGGACTGTTAGGGGCACACGAACTCTTCCTTGGAGTAAAGAGACACACAGGACCCTGGGCAGGGGAAAATCAAATCTACCTCTCTGGAGGGGATGGGGGCTGACACCACGGGCTGCTCCCCTTGGCAAGCCTATCTGGAAAAACCTCCGCCTTGGGGAATCTCAGAACTGTCCACAGGAGCCCCCGCCTCCCCACACACACCAGTTCTGGCTACCCCCAGGACATCATTCTGCAGGCAGCCCAGAATTTCCCACTATGGACCTTCCCTTGTCCCCAAACCTATCCAAATCACATACAGAACACTCCCAGACACACAATGGCCCACTCACAGGACACATACCCTGCCAAGACCAGGACCGGTGGGCACCTTGATAGAGACTTTTCCTGATCATGGGTCTCACTCCCATCCCCAAATGCTTCTCATACAAAATGGCCGAGTCTCAGTGCTCCTCCTCTGTCCCTGGTTCCACTGGAATGGGAGAGCCGGCGTCCTTGTACTGGGAGGTTATGCATACTAACACACACACACACACACACACACACACACACACACACACACACACACACACGAACACAGGGTTGCCCCTTGCCAGCTCTGCCTCAAGAGGAGTCCCAGACTTGGGGACAAGGACCAGCCCCTTCCAGGCCCAAAGCTGGCAGTGCTGGGGGACAACAGCGGTACCTACTGCTGGTCTCCACTTAGGGATCTAGAGCCCAGAATGTGTAGAGGGGCCATCAGCAGGTGCAAATGGTCTTCTGGGAGTGTAGAGGACAAGGAAAGTGGGCCTTCAGGGATGGGTGCAGGTAGCTGCCCTCAGCCCAGGACTGAGGTGATATGATGTTAGGTCCCCTCCCCATTTCTGCAACCCGGAAGCTCAGATGGGTAGCAAGAGGTTAGGAGGATGGATGAGAAGAGGCCAGCCCTCTTCACCACCCTTACTTGGTCGTCGGGGAGACCCATGGGTGCAAAGGAGCGGATGAGTTCAAACCTAGAGCCTAGCCGCCCTCCCTCCTTGCCGGCCCTTTGTTCCGCGCTGCGGGCCGTGGGGAGGGGCCTCTCCGGCTGAGGGGGGCTGGGGCACCAGCACATCCCGTCCTGCGGGGGAAGGGCTGGTACAACCCAGCCAGGAGGCCGTAAACGCCCCCCCAAAAAGAACAGTGACTCCAGAATGATCTCCAAAGTCACTCTCCAGTCTCTGTCCTTCGCTTTAACCAGAGACTGCAGTGCCTTGACCCAAACCCCACGCCCACAACGCGACCCTGGCGCGCGCGCGGACACGCACACCAGGGCCCCTCAGTCTACCGCAGCTGCGCCGGCAATCAACCCCGGCCGGGCTAGGGTCTTGCAGGCCCACCGCGCACCGCATCTCTGGCCACTTACACGTAGGCGTGGTAAATGAACGCCCAGCCGCGGGGCCGCTCCAGCACGTTGTAGAGGAAATTCTGCAGCTTGCGGTAGAAGGCGTTGCGCTTCGGGGGCTTCCCCGCTCCCGCGCCGCCCGCGCGCGGCTTGCTCAAAACGCTTCCGCGCTTGGGGGCCTCGGAGCCGGCGATGAGCAACGCGCCGTCGCGAGTGGAGTCTGGCGCGCCGGGGTCCAGCCCCACGAAGCCCACCTTGAGCTTCTTCTCCCCGCTAGTGCCGGGGTACACGCCACCGTTGCGCGACTTCTGCACCATGGTGCCTGCTGCGCCCTGTCGGGCGCGGGCTCAGCGGGGGCGGCGCGCGGGGGGTGGCGCGGGCCCCAGCCCAGGCCTCCGGTCCGGCAGCCGCATGGCCGAGGCGGCTGCGGCTCCGCGTTCCTACCTGGCCCGGCCGCGCGCGGGGACGCAGCAGCCAGCCGGCTCCGCGCGCGCCTCGGTGCCTGGCCCGCTTCCGCGAGGGCTCCGCCCGCCGCCCCGCCCCTCATGGCTTAACCCCTACGACACCATTGCAGAGGCAGGCAAGGTCCAGGCAACCCGTCACCAGGCAACCCTTCCCACTCTCCTAGCCTGGTGATCCTTAACAGAGAGTCCAACCATGCTGTCACCTCTGAGAAGGGCAAAGCTACGCAAGCAAGCCCTGTGAGTCAGCTCCAGCAGTCTGAGGAATCCCAAAGTGGGGCCAGAGTCGGCCTAGGGCCCAGAAGTGGATACTTTTCAGAGAGGAGGATACTGGCCATTGTCAAGTTCTGAGTTAAAGATCAGCCCACGAGATCTTCTCTTAGCATCAAGTGGACCAGGCATCGGGCTCCATCTCTTCAATGGGTGTGCAGGGAAGTCTGTAGGTGCTCTCCAAGAGATAGCCTGAGCAATGCCTAGAGCAGAATCCTTGCCCACTTCAGGCTTACTGAGCCAACTGGGCTTGGTTAAGGGAGGAGGCACCAGCCCAACCCATTCAGTCAGAGGAGGTCTTGAGTATTCAGGGGAGAAGAGCACTGCCCACTCCCTGTGCAGACGGGCTTTATCATGACCTCTGGGTCATCCTCTCCATTCAAGTCTCTGTAAATGAACTACTAAGTCGGGCTGGAGAGATAGCTCAGCAGTTAAGAGCACTGGCTGCTCTTCCAGAGGACCTGGTTTTGGTTCCCAGCACCCACATGGCTGTTAACAATTGTCTGTAACTCCATTTCCAGGGGACTCAATACCCTCTTCTGGCCTCCTTGGGCTCTGCAAACATGGAGTACACATACATACATACTAATTCCCTGATGCTGCAGAGTAAGAACACACACACACACACACACACACACACACACACACACACACACACAATGGGAAAGCTCATAGGGGAGTCAACTTGGTGCAGATACCATTGCATCTCTGTTCTCTCCTCTACTAATGTTGTTTGTACCAACAGCTTTGCCACATTTTAGAAGATTCTAGAAAGTGATTTCTTCATCGTGGCTTATAACTCCCTGCTTTCTCTGCTTAGGATGTCTTCCCAGCAAGCTGGCTCATTAATCATTTATTTTTTTAATATCATGCCTTGCATACCTGGGGACCATACACTGTCAGCAGCTTGGTTACCAGCATGCCACTGGCCTCCCCAAGACCCAAGAAAGTGAGTCATGAGCACCCAGTCAGACAAACAACAGGAATTTCATTTGATTTAAAAGTAGATGGGAAAAGCTTACAGGCTCAGGCCATCTTTGCCAAGACTGCATCGACAGGATTCTAGAGTGCGGGGGGGGGGGGGGGGGGGTGGTGGATGGAAAAATTCAGATGCACATGATACCCAGCTCCAGCTGAGGAGAGCTCTGGTCCAGGGTGCAGGCACCAGCAATGTCATCCTTCAGCCAGGCGCTGTCCCTTCAGCACCTCCTTCACAACCTGCCTGCTCAGCCTGTTCTCTCCTGCTCCTCAGGACAGCAAGGCTAAGGGGCGTGGCTTTCCCCTGCTCTGCTATCAGTGAGCTACATGAAGCAGGCAGAGACTGTTGGACCATCAAAACACGGCATCACATTGGCTCCTGCTATATCAAAGAGCAGTTTGAAGTTCTTGCCAATCCCCATTGCCCTTGAAGTTCCCCTTCACACTCCTTCCCATACAAAACAAACGGCTGGGGACAGGAGTTGGGGGTAAAGTGCTTGCTTAGCATGCACAAAGTCCTGGGTTCCATCCCCAGAACCTTTTTAAAATTAATGTATTTAGCCAGGCATAGTGGCTCACACTTGTAATTCCAGCGCCTGGGAGCTAAGACAGGAGGAGCATCAAAAGGTTAAGGCCAGAAGACTGTCTCAAGAAACAAGCAATAAATGGAGCTGGAGATATATATAAAATCTTAAATGAGCAAAAAAGAAAGGAAGGAAGGAAGGAAGGAAGGAAGGAAGGAAGGAAGGAAGGAAGGAAGAAAGAAAGAAAGAAAGAAAGAAAGAAAGAAAGAAAGAAAAAGAAACACGGAATAAAATCCAAGAGGCCATGGCCACATATTTTCTGTCTGGGTCTTCCTGAGCTTGCATCTTTGTCCTGCTGTCCCAGAGCCTGGCACGGGTGAGGGTCTATAAGGCATGGGTATTGTGGCTACTCATGATGGAAATCCACCAGCATATCACCTCTCTGGAGAGCTACACACAGCAATACAGGTCAGAGGAATCCCAGTGCTTTCTGGATGGAAACCCCTCCAGCTGAGGTTGGGATTCTGGTCTCACAGATGCCAAGCACAGGGAATGTGAGTGGGAAGAATATTCAGCTTCCATAGTCTGTGCTGGCCAGACTGTCAGAAGCCTCCAGCAAAGCCACAGAGAATATGTGCACACAGTTGCCACCATCTGAAACCCCTGCTAGGAAGCCCAGCTTCATACTTTTCAGCACACCTGACTGTTACGTAATAGCATTCACACCCAGGAGTTTAGTCACCCTCCTTCTAAGGGTCAGTGATCACAGTCAACAGTACATGAGGATGCTCCCCACTGCAGTCTTCCAACAGAGACCTACTTCCAAGCAAGATCTCAGGAAGAGAGAGCAGCTGCTGAGGACCAGAAGGGAAAATGCTGCCAGCCGGGAAACAGACTCAATTTGGGGAAATGAGAAGAGACAGGTTCTCAGTCACTCTGGCTGGGCAGAGCTGTGGTTGTTTTAATCCTATAATTTGGACAACAGGAAGTGCCTACCCAAGCAGAAAGGCCCCCCTCAAAGGAATTTTCCACTATTAAGAAGAAGTACTGTTGGTTAGATCATGGAGAGCAATGGAGTGAGGAAAAGAAAAGATACGAAAGTGTTGTGCTTTTGTTTTTGTTTTTGTTGTTGTTTTTTTTTAATCTGACAGGAACACTTACTGGTTGAAGTCAATAGGAATTTAATTTATAGTTGTTGCATTTTTTAAAGGACCAGAGCTCTCAACAAGCTGCCCTAGCCCCTGGCAAAGCAGCTAATTACATGAGGAACTGAACTTGTACTTCCCAGCCACTGATAATAATTTCACTGCAGCTGTCCCCACTGTGGTGACAGATAGAGATGGCCAGGGAATGGTGGCAGCCCTAGAAGTGTCCAACGAGGCCCCAAGACAAGCTTTCCAGGCTTCTGGAAAGCTCCGATTGCCCTCTTCTATGGCAGCCTTATGTCTTTGTATCCCTCCTTCTTCATTTCTGGACCACAGTTTTCTAGGTACCACCTACACACCCCTTATCACACCCTAGACAAGCAAAGAAGCTGTGGCAATTTTTCCCTGTTCCATTGAAGATAAAAGGTGAGAAATGCAGAGGCCCCTTGACCCAGTGATGGCCTGATACAGGCTCCACTGTGGAGCAGTCCATGATACACTGCCAGAGCACATTTGTGCTGAGTATTTTCCAACTCATGGCCACTCATCTGTGAGACCAGCCCTGCCACTCCCTCTCAGAACCTTCCAACCTCTGTCCTCAGACACTAGCCAAGCACAGCACCCCTGTACTGTAACACAACTTCGGCCCTGTACTCTCAGTCTAGAATGCTGTTCCCTGTCCTGGTATTAGATGGACAGTGTGTCAGAAAAGCCTTGAAGTCAGATATCCCCATTCCACTGCCTTCTCTCCCAACCCTAGTTCCTTGTCAGTCTGAAATTTGCCTATCACATGCTCGTCTTCCCTTGTGCAGTAAGCTTGGCTAGGTGCCTTATGGCCCCTCATAGTCCACAGCCTAATCCACAGGAGGGACTTGTCCACTTTCATCAGTGAATGGTCACTTTGGCCTAGGGCTGATGTCACTTTGAGCCTCCAGCCACATGAGCCCTGGAGGGCAGCCCAGGAATTGCATGGCTTGGAGCCCTTGGAGTGTACCCTGGGAGGGTGTGGGTGGCTGGAACTCTGTTCTCCAGAGATGCTCCTGCTGGCAGAGTGGTCAGCACCTGCCCACGCACAAGTTATCTGCTGCTGGCTCCTGCCTACAGCCAGCCCAGGCTTGCTAGGGTGCCTTGCTTGACCAGTAGGCTTAAATAGTGCTTTCCAGCCTGGGGAAGGGCCCATAGGCCTTTGAGGTTTCTTCTGCAACTGACTCTTACCCTTAGACAAAGTTAGCAAATGCTCCACCAGCAGATGACTTGGGAATACTCAACAGGAGCTTCAGCCTTTTCCTGTGACCCCTGTGGCTACATCCCAGCATCTATCAAACTCACCTTCCTCTTTTGTCAAAGCCAAGGTGATGTTAAGGGCAGGGCCATGCCTGTTACAGAGTGTGGCCCCCAGGGGCCCCTGTAGCTCTTGCAAGTTGGATGACCTTGAGCAGTCTAAGGCCTAGACTCAATTTGTTTGAGCAAATCCTGGACTAGACTCAATTTGCTTGTGTCTCCCAAATTCATTTGTTGGGGTCCTATCCCAAAGTGATGGTGTATGTTCAGGGCATCTGGGGAAGAGCAAATGGTGAGGATGGAGCCCCATGCTCCAGTCCAAGGCTAGGGAGAGAGCGGAGGCCTAAGCACCTTCTCTGCTCCCTCCCACATGAGGCCACAGAGAAGGTTGCAGGCCCAGAGGCAGATCCTCCCCATACACCTCAGTCCTGGACTTGTGCCTCCAAAACTGGAAAATAGACTTCTCTGTTTAAGTCTAGGCTTTGGGTGCTTCTGCCACAGCTGCTAACAAAGCCCCCAATCTTCCTCTGGCAGAAGGAGAATCATAGCCTCCTCTTAGAACAGGACAAATGGCAACACAGCCTGACCTTCCTAGCTGTGTCCAGCTGCTTAATAACAGGAGAGTGGCCACAGTGACCCAAGTACCCACCTCTTCCATGGCTCCAACACAGACCTTCCCATGGCTACAGTAGAAGAGGGAATGCTATATAACCCAAGGCTGGCTCTAAGGAGCAAGACAGTAAAATGTGCACTACAGAGAGGCTACCTGTCCCCAAAACTAGTGTAACACACTT